ACCATTTCAAGAATCTTACGGGATAAAATTCCTCATGATCAAATCCTCCGATGCCGTTGGATTCTCACATGGAAACCAATAGACCCCGAAGATATTCCTGATAAATCCCAAGTCCAAAAATCCAAGGCAAAGGCCAGACTTGTAATACTAGGATACTTAGATCCCCAACTTGAGAATCTTCCCAGAGATTCACCTACTCTGGGACGAAATGCAAAGATGTTGTCCCTGCAATTGATTGCATCCATGGGTTGGACTCTCAGATCCTTTGATATCAAGGCAGCCTTTCTCCAAGGTAAAACCCAAGGAAACCGAATATTAGCCATTGAGCCTGTACCGGAACTCATCCAAGCCTTGCAGCTCTCCACAACAGAAGTATGCAAGCTTGAAAAGGGAGCCTATGGTCTGGTGGATGCACCATTTCTCTGGTACCAAGCCATTAATGAAGAACTGTTGAAACTAGGGTTTACACAAAGTCCGTTTGACCCATGTCAATACGTTCTTAGACACCACCAAACGGGAAAACTAGAGGGCATCCTTGGACTCCACGTCGATGACGGCATATGCGGGGGATCCTCATATTTCTCTGACAAAATCAATCAACTAGAAAAGAAGTATCCTTTTGGTTCCAAAAAGGCCCAACAATTCACATTCACAGGAATCGAAATGAACCAACAACCCGATGGAACGATCACTATGAAACAAGGCAAATACATCAATGCCATTGAACCAATCAAAATTTCCACTGACCGAAGGAACCAAGGAGAGGAAAAAGTGACGGAGACAGAGAGACAAAGCCTGCGTGCCATCATCGGCAGTCTCCAGTATGCCGCTGTCCACACCCGGCCAGATCTTGCCAGTCGATTGAGCCAATTACAATCCGCAATTAACAGTGCAACAGTAAATACACTTATACTTGCCAATCAAACTTTACACGAAGCCAAGAAGCACAGCAGCACCACCATTATCATTCAACCAATCCCTGTTGATGACTTTCGATTTTTGGCTTTTTCCGACGCCTCCTTTGCTTCAAAGAGCAATCCCAGTTCCCACACGGGTAGCATGATCATGGGCACTCATAAACTGATTTCAGAAAATGTTTCTTGCCCAGTAAGTCCCTTGGCATGGGGCTGCAAGAAAATTCAGCGTGTAGTGACAAGCACCCTGGCCGCTGAAACAGTTTCGTTAAATTCTGTACTTGATCATTTGTCCTGGTTGCGGTTGTGTTGGGGTTGGATACTAGACCCAAAGGTTGAATGGAAACACCCAAACCATGCCCTAGGTCAGCTCCCTGAATCCTTTTCTACAGCCACCTATAAATCTCAGAGACTTCCAGATAGTCTAGCCGCCACTGACTGTAAAAGTCTCTATGATTTGGTCACAAGGACAGCTGTTCCCAATTGCGCAGAATATCGCACCATGCTCAATGCCCGGTCCATTAAGGATATGCTCCAAGAAGGAGTGCAACTTAGATGGGTTCACTCTGGAGCACAACTTGCTGATAGCCTCACCAAAATAATGGACAGTGGTTTCTTGAGAGAAACTCTCAAGATCGGAATGTATAAGCTTCATGACGAACTGGAAGTTTTGAAGAGCCGTGCGTCAACCAGAACACGACTCAAATGGCTTCGCAGTTCTTGCAAGGAACCTGATTCCGAAGGTTGCAATGATGAATGTTTTCTTTCATTAAACTATGATTTTTTGGGAGTGTGAATCTACATCATTGCAACCCCCACAGTGCCATTTCCTTCCAGCTCACGATGCCAGGAATAATCAACAACAAATGTCTTACCACTTGGAGCACATTGGCTCAGGGTCAGCCTTAGGAGAGGGCATAGGGATAGGGAATCGTGCTTGCCATTTTTGCTTACTGGTCTATTGGCGTGGTCGCCATTTGGAACTTAGAGCCTGGGGCTCATTCAGAACTGGAAGGCCTAGTTGGCCAAGCGATTCTTGGTGCCTTGATCCCAAGGCTTTTGCCGCTGTGATCCTTTTTGCGAGGTCTGACAAAACAGTTTGGCCGCGCTGTGGGTTTTGTGCTTTGGAGGTGCTACCAGGTGATCTGACTAATTGTCAATCACAATATGTATATTTCGTCATAATTAGACATATATGTATGGTAATATGTATATATATATTATGTATATGTATGGTAATATATATATATTTATTATATGTATATTTCGTCATAATTAAACATATATGTATGGTAATATATATATATATTTATTATATGTATATTTCGTAATAATTAGACATATATGTATGGTAATATATATATATATTTATTATATGTATATTTCGTCATAATTAGACATATATGTATGGTAATATATATATATATATATTATATAGTGACTATATATATATAGTCATAGTTATATCTATATGATTAAATACATATATATATATATACATTCAGGGGTATTGGAAGGGCCCCAGCGCAGTGGGAAAACCTAGTTTAGGTCACACCAAGTGATATAAACACACACACACATTTGTTGGTTAAACTGGGACATGATCCCAATATGGTGCAGCAACCGTGCTGATTTTCCCAAGGCGCGACAAGATGGAGCTTATCCCGCGCGCAGCCAGTCGCTTGGCATCGCCACAATGGCAATTTCGGGATGCATGGTGGTTTGGTGGAGCTTCAATCCTCAAACATGATGCTATACATATATATATATATGTACATATATATATATACATAATGGAGATTTATTTGGATAGGTTGATCATGTTTAGTGAGATACCAGGAAGGTTATTCGATATTTCTGGTTGCTTTTTCATGGTGATTGCCCGGAGGCAAATAACAAGGGAACCTGTCAAACCCGGATTGATAGATCATGGTGTGCCCCTGAGTAAACAGCGACATTTGTTATTCCGGGGGGGGTTGACATTATCTGGTTGGTGGTTTCAAACATGAATTTTATTTTCCATAATATATGGGATAATCATCCCAACTGACTTTCATATTTTTCAGAGGGGTAGGTATACCACCAACCAGATATAGTATGGGACACATTGGATTCAGCATGTTGATTTTTTGTATGAGTGCTACTCAGAAACCTGGAAGTTGATACTGCTCAGTAGTATGCAATTCTCAACAAAGAAGCAAAGAAACGACAAACCATCAACAGATAGCATCTGGTTATGACTAACAGTTCGCCATGGTTAAGCCATGGCCCTAATCGAAATAGATGGTTTACCTATCAAAAATGGTGGATCTTTCCATGGCTATGTTACTCATAACCAGATGGTAGCATCGGATCTCCCCGTTGATGAACCATGTCAAGCATGCTGGCCGATGAGGGACATCCCCATCCAATGGGGGATATTCAATTTTCACTGATACCTATATACCCTTTGGTAAACGTTTATACAGCTATGGAAAGATCCACCATTTTTAATGGGAAAATCAACTATAAATGGCCATTTTCAATAGCTATGTTAAATTACCAGATGGTAGCCATTGATCCGATAGTCTAATATCACTCAGTACGGTCACTCAAACTTGAAAGTTGATCCTGTGGCCCTAATACCCTCCCGAAATCAAGCGTAGCAATGGAACATCCACTATTATAGATAAATGATTTTCGCATTAAAACCTCAACTTGTGGATTCCCCATGCAACGTTTGATTGCCAAAGGATATCACAATTTCTCACATACGGTCCTGCGAAATGAAGAAGCCCAATACATTTCAGCAGGGTTTCCCTTCGTTGGTGGAAGCCTTCAGCACAATCAGGTTTTTTTCCCGCGTTGTTGCTGAATTTCTGAAGCTGAATCCCTCAGAGCTAGTTATTAATATACAATATATCAATATACGATATATATATATATACACACACCCATTGTATACATGTATATATTTGATATATACAGATACATGTCTGGCACTTCTTTGATCTTGTTCTTCACCACAATAGCACTTTCAGGAAGGAGCACGCTTGGCGATTTGCACCTTAAAAGGGTGACCTCTTTTGGCTGAAAGTCATGTCTGGTCTAGGTAAGTTCATAGTTGATGTTCGATTCATGTTTGGCAACATACCCTCTGGTTATGACTAACATAGCCATGGAAAATCACCATTTTTAATAGGTAAACCATCTATTTCTATGGGCCATTTTCCATGGCTATGTTAAATAACCAGAGGGTAATGCCAGCTGACTTAGTTGAAACCACTCGGATAATGTTCTTTTCCAGACCGCAGTTGGAACATGGGCGCTCCGTGTAGTCGTAATCTTACTATGTCAGGACTACTGTACACAAGGAGCCTATCAACCGATCTTGGAGAACATAGCAATGTGAGATGTATCCTTGAAGTGTTGGTTCTCTTGGTTTTTTCGTATGCACCTCTGAAGCAGACTCGTATCCAAACGTAATGTAGTTTATACCTGATAGGAAGGATTTTGACATGGGACACTTACAGTTATGACAACTTTAATCGGCAAAATGATGATTGAACATACATTTTAGGGATGCCCTACTTTTTAACTCCAAACAACTACCATATTTTTTGATTTGGCAAAAGGTGTGTGCGTTTACCAATGAGTTTTCTATTATCATCCTATCGCGATGACTGGAGGTATGACTGGAGTGGTTGGGAGCAATCCTACCCGTCCAAAGTTCCAAAAGTGAACCCTGACAAGGCACGTCTCGTTGCTTTGTCCATTCATTCCATTCATGGTTTGATGATGTTTGATGTCTTCGAATATTTCATCCTATATCGGATGTGTATCCCAGGTTGTTTCATATTTTGGGGGGTGAAACAGCGTTTTCACCAAGCATTGACCAGGATTCAGGTTTCAGCTTAGGCTTCAGGTTGAGGCTTATGGAGACGGCCCTGTGCGCTTTCCGCTGGTGAGATTTGGCTAAGAGCTTACAGCATCTGCAACAACATCAGAGCTGGCTGTGTATGCCTTAAGTTTTCCAAGTTGCATGGATGAAATCGATCCGCCAGAGGATCTGACACGTGGCTGACACGGTGTTTCTTTTGGGCATTTGAAAACACTCGTCCCAGCGTTCCTTTGATCCTTTGATCGCCCACGATGACCAGCCGGGGGACTTGGCCTGGGAATATGACTTCGTCAGACTTCTCAATGTATAATGTCAACCCTGGATTAATAAACCCCTAGTCTGTTTAATTGGGAGGGTACCATTTATGTACCATCTAAAGTGACTATTTGGAGGGTAGCCCCTAAGTAATAAACCATGGTTTAGTTTCATCCGGGGTTGACATTATACATACAACATCATCTAGAGTCAGCCCAATGCCATAGTCACCATCCCATAGTCACCATCCCATTCACCAACCATGATCGGGGGTCCTAATAGACATCATCCCAGTTCTAGGGTAATTTTTCACGGTGTGCTGTGGAAACTCACCATTCTCAATAGGTAAACTGCTTGGTGGTGACTGGAACATGATTTCTATGACTTTCCATTCACTTGGGAATGTCATGTCATCCCAACTGACGAACTCCATCATTTTTCAAAGGGGTAGGTATGCCACCAACCAGTAAATCATCATGAATTATCTATAAACAATAACGTGGCCATTTTCCATAGGATTAGCACATCAGCAGCCTCTAGGATGACGGGGTTCTGATTTGTTTCTGGCCTGGTTTTGCAGCGATTTTGAGATGGTTTCAGCTATGATTTTTGATGGTCAAAATTGTGATTTGGATGGGTCCAAAGTGATATTTCCGTTGTTTTTTCTTTTGTATACGTTTGTATGTCTTTTGAACATGTCTTGAACACATATCAGAATCACATCGCAATCGCCTCAAAATCGCATCAAAATCGTATCAAGGCCATAATGAAATCTGTCTCTGGGCTGTTTCTGTTTCCTTTTTTTCTAGCTGCTAGCTTGAATAACCAAAAATATGGGTGACATACAGTTTACATCATGAATTTAACACATACACACTATCACACAAAAAAGGGAATGGTCATCAACCTATTAAGATCTAATCAAAACAATGTTTTGTGTTTCAAAAGGTGTCCAGAGCTCCTGAAAGATAAAAAAACACATGGCTATTCATTGAGGAAATTGAACTCTGTTGGTGCCCCTCTATCCCCAAAAGTAAGGCCAATCTTGAGCTGACATGGAACATATTTGTCTGCAAACTGGGCATAGCGCCTTGGGAATTCTGACGGAAACACGGATTCTGGGTACATCAATCTCAAAACGAAGACTGTGATTATCTAATTGCATCCAGCAGTTGTTTTGAAATGTGTTACAGAGATATTCGAAATTCCCAGCATGTTCAAGACTTAGGCACCCGAAAAACGATTGGTTTCTGCATGGAGCTGGTGGTTGGTGGATAAAATTGATGGGATTCCTGAGAACATCCCTGATCCAGTAGGCCCCAATGGTAGGTACCTCTAATTTAGGTCCCTGAAATGGCCATTGAATGGAAGAATCCCATTTTTTCCGATATTTGTCGAAAAAACAAATCCGTTGAACATGGTGGTCTTCCAGAGGCTGACCTTGTTTTTTTCCTCTATCTCCAAGCCCAGCGCCGATTTTTTCCTTCAGGTGATGCCAAAGTGGTGGCCACGGATTGCACGGAGGCACATTTGACCAGTGGCTCCGCCGAGCATCAGAAGTTCTCTGGAGGTGCGCCCCAACCTTCCACACGTTGGGAGATGGGGTAACTATGACCCCGAACAAACTAGAGACTATAGCTATATACTGTATATAAGCCATTATAAGCTTACAACTATAACAATAGATGTATATGTATAGCCCCTATAACTATATATATATAATATTATATATACACATCCACTGATAGCTGGAACTGCACTTCCAAGTGGAGTGGTGATGGGGCCTCAAGGTGGGCAAAGACGAATTCCTGGCTTTGTAACTCACCGTGACTAGAGACTACTGGAAAAAATGCCGGGAATATGTTTTATTTTTTTTGTCCCTCTTAAGCAACTCCAAGAATTTTATATATATATATATAAATATATATATATATACTGTGCTCAATCCTTGTTGATTACGTATCAGAGATTGTTTCAGGGGGTTATTCACCTGCCAGGTTCATTGGATTTGAGGAGCATCGCGATGTTTCATTCGAACCCCTACCAACCAAGCAGTTTAAAGGCATGATGGAGGGTTTCGAACACCGCTCAAAATGGTCAACCCGAAATTATGCATTTTTACTACACCCTTTTTGGGGTATGTTTAGTAGCCTCTCATTGGGAAGACTTAGCAAACGGATGCAAATTTTATATGCGTTTTATATATTGCTGAATTTACCACATTGCTTGGGTATGTGTTAGGACCAAATAATGTTTCGTAGATGTCAAGATCACCAAGATGTATAATGAATTGATCCTGGTTTATATGCGAGAAACTCAGGGGACATGTGATCACCAAGAGTCCCTACCACTTAACAAGTGAGGTGAGATTGGAATCTTAGGACCGCTCAAAATGATGATACACGCATCTGCGATGTCAGATATTTTCCTCTATCTTGACCATTTGCTTCAAAGATATTGCAGTTCCAATCAAACACTGCAAACACTTCCATGTTTTCGCAAAAAGACTATAAAGATAACAAAAACACTGGTAGAAGAGGCAGAAGGTGTTCATTTGACTTGATTTTTTGCGGCAAAAACCAAAGTTGCAACTTTGGTCACATATGGTCCAAACAGTTTGGGAAAACTTGGAAAAATCCATTGGTTTGAAGCCTTATTTATGTAATGTTGTCATCAACATTACCATTTCTTTTTGGGCAAATTATAACGACCTCACTGTGACCTCACTGGAATGATGGTTACGATTGGGGTAAATATCTCGAAATAGCCGAACATGTCAGATTAGCGAATTCTGATCATTTACTCACATGGTTAATAAAGCCTTATAATCGTGGTTGTTTGAAAACTCCCAGATTTTTGGAGAAAACCCAAGCGGATAGAAATCTCCTCCTACCAGATACGGGCGATAAGTTCTCCTCGCCCTTCGCATTCTCTCAAGCCGCTCGGGGTCCCAGATGTCCCAGATCATGATGCCGACTCGACCTCAAAATCATCTAACATATGTCAGGTTTAATTGGAAAAGCATGCTTTACATTGAGCCATTAGAAGTAGCCCTATCCCATCTGAATGATCTGAATGTACTGGCTGGTTTTTCATGGTTTTTCTAATAGCTTGAATGATCCCCACTGACCCAAGTAGTACAACTCCTGAAAAATCAACCAATCAACAAGGCTATGTTTAATGGTTCACCTGGCTTTGTTGAGATGATGTTTTATCAATGCGAAATCCATCATTTGGGGAACCGTTGTGGAAGATTTACAGTATCTATTTTCGAAGGGGGTTCCTTGAGCAAATCCAAGATCTGGAGAAAGCTGCTGATGCTTTCTGGGTCAACCTTGGATACCTATCAGTGGCAAAATCTACATTCACCAGCTAAAAATGAGTTGTTTTTTTTGCCTGCCATGATCTAAGATTCACCATGCCGAAGATTTTCTGGCTGGGAATGCAGCACTTGGGGAATCTCTGACGTTCAGCAGTGGTCAAACCATAAAGAAACTAAGGTGTCTATCAGACAGTATTGCCATTTTGCAGATGGTTTTTGTCTTGTTGCATTATTAGCATGCTTTTCTCAAGAAGTCTGGCTGATACTGTATCAACTACTATGACCGTTTGTGGTTGCTTCTCTTCACATGGTTTTTTTCGCCATTGTAGCCATTTTCTATTCATTTTTTCAACTCGGGTATATATCCCATCATCTTCTCAGTTCATAACTGGGCTGTCTTGGGCCCTTAAAAAAACCACATGGCTTTCACCATTTTTCATCACCGCATCCGTGGGCTTTCACCGTTTCCGACAGCCGACAAGGTCATCAGTTTGGGCTGCGAAGGGCAAAAAATCATCCAAGTCATCCCACGTTTTTTGGATGATCATGAAAAATCTGGTTATGACTGTTACATAGCTATTGAAAATGGTTGGAAAATGATGGGAAAATGGTGATTTAATGGGATTTTCCTGGTGATTTAATGGGATACCCTCTGGTTATGACATTCACAGGGCTAGCCATGGTTAAGCCATGGCCCTAATCGAAATAGATGGTTTACCGAACTTAAACATGGATTAATAGCATGGTGGATCTTTCCATGGCTATTGCTGTTAGTCATAACCAGATGGTAGATGAATTAGTGTTGAAGCAATCATGGTGACGACTGGGGATTTTCCGTGACGAAACGATCGATGCTTGGAGCCATCACAGTGAATTATTGGAGCCATGGAGTTGAGTTTCACTGTTCTTCCCATCTAGGTGGATGGTCATCAGTCCATGAATTGTGATTTACTGTATATGTTATGTATGAATATGTATGATATATATATATATGTATACTCATATATGTATTATGTATATATAAATATATATAAACTAATGTATCAAAATATCATATCCATTCCCATTGTGGGGCACAGAAATCAAAGCCATGCTCTGGCTGCAGGGCCCCGAAATCGTTGCCAGCGCGTCGCCGATGACCGCAATGTGCTCTGGATCATGCCACTTAGTGGTTACCATCTGGTAAACTGACTAACAATAAGCCCCACTATATTGGGTAGCAGAAAGCCATAGAATCATCAACCAACCATCATTTATCAGTTATATTCACTAATATCCCCATATTTCAAATAGGTATATCCACTATAAATGGCCATTTTCAAAAGCTTTTTGTATGTTTACCAGAGGGTATCTCTGTTGGAAAACCTGAGCTATTGGAGTTATGTGTATAGAACATTATAGAACCACTTGGGGTTGTTTCTATGGGCCATTTCTCATGGCGAACTGTTAGTCATAACCAGAGGGTAATACCCATGGTGATCGTAAGTCGCCGTTTCGTGGGGTTATCCCATTAAGATCAATGGGTGAACTAACCCCGGTTACCAACCACTTTCTAAGTAAGATGATTTAGACTGTTAGACTAGGTGCATATCGCACACTTAGAACCGCGCGTTTTTCGCCGAATTTCTAAACTCTTTTTGGATTCATTCCCATGACAAGGTGGATGATGGTGACAATTCCATATTCAGCCAAGTTTCAGAGAGTTTTTCTTTCTCCATCCCAAATACGGCATGATTAGGGCCCTCAATTAGATCATGTTCTTTTAGTGATTAATAAGCATGGTGATCGTAATTCCCCTAATTGGAGGTTTCCCATTTACAAGTGGGTGAACTAACCCCAGTTATGCCAACTACGAATCCGAGAACCGTGCGATGATCCTCCAAGTAGTGACGATTAGTGACGCCCATCTCGGAAGAATCACAGGTACGTCGCTCAAAGTCCGCTTCCGACCTCAGTGGCGCCGCCTGAAAGCTTTCAACAGGTGCAGCATGTGAGGGCCAATGATCTCAGTGTAGAAATCAAGGTATAACACCAACCATGATGGGGATATACTGCTTTGGAATTTGGATAAGTATAGAATTTCGCATCTGGAATCAAAAGTGTTATATTTGGGTTTGCCCAAAAATGGGGTATGCCATGGTATGCCCCGAAATAACTAACTACAGTACTCAATTTTACGGGACAAATGATGATAAACCTATAGGATTTTGCTGAACCCTAATTTCATGTTCTGACTAACCCACTAACCCATACTACCCAACTCATTTTCAAACCTTGAAGCGCCCAGCAAAGCCCAGCTGTGAATGGCATGATAAGCTGGCCTGCTTTGGTGCTGGGCAAAGTGGGGGGTTGAGCTGCCATCACTTGCATCACTTGTCGTGATCCTTATTGAAATTGAGTTTTTTTGGCTGGTTGGTTCGGTTGGGTTGGTTGGTTTGGTTTGTTTGGTTTGTTTGGTTGGTTGGGGGTGGTTTTGTTAGTTTGGTTGGTTTGGTTGGTTTGTTTGGTTTGGTTGGTTTGGTTTGTTTGGTTGGTTTGTTTGGTTTGCTTGTTTGATTATTTGGTTGGTTGCTTGTTTGCTTGTCTGCTTGGTTGGTTCGTTGGTTCGTTGCTTGGTTGGTTCGTTGGTTCGTTGGTTCGTTGGTGGTGTTTCAAGTATTTGTACATCTTCTGTCGCTAAACTGGGAGATGATCCCAAATTGATGTTGGGCCTGGTTGGCTCAAGCACCAACCAGTAGACTGTTTTTGGTTAACAATTCCCGTTCGGTTGGTGATGTCCCTTTCTTATTCCATTGAAACATATGAAACCCTGTACCGTGTGGCCATGTGGGTACGGGTACCAAATCACTCCAAGCATTGGGTCGATACACACAGTCCAACGTGAGTACCATTCTGTTCACTTTTAGATGTTGATTTAGTGAACAACTTGGAGTATCTTGGAGTATCCCACAAATCATAAGTGGATGTGAGTGGTTAGTAACTGGTTGGTGGTTTGGAACATGTTTTTTTCATATATATTGGGAATAATCCTTCCCAACTGACTCATATTTTTCATCAACCACCAACCAGGTAATTTTCACTGGGGTTGGTTCACCTACTGCATGGGTTTTCCCCCTGGGGTTATCGGGAACGCATCCCATCACGCCGAAGCGTGGGATGATCCTTGAGGGCCCGAAATGAGCCCGAAATGAGGTATCAAATGGCCATAGAAATAGTATGAAAGTTCGTTGGATTTGCCAGCTATAAAATGATGATTTACCATAGTTAAACGTTGGTTTACCTAGGTCAATCTTAGATGGGTAGAAACTAGTCCTTTAGTCTTGCAGGGTATCAATGGGGTTATCTGATTATCTACGTTCACCAGCTAAGAATGTTTTTTTTGCAGGAATCCAAGATTGGCCATGTCCCATGATGAATATGAACCACAATGAAACTAGGGTGTCCAGCGAACCATCTGTATTTGCATTGGGTACTAGCGATTGACTACAATTATTGGATACTGTTGAAAATACGCAACGCATCGCACTACTGGACTATTGGTAAACGCAAGGTAAACACCTAGAGACGTGTTTGCCGAGATGAAATCCTGGAACCATCGAAGCTTAGAACACCTATGGGGTTCCGGTTGGAAAGTGAATTTTTTGGGAATGGTGATCTCCAGCAAAAATCACATGGATACGGAAGATCAACTTAATTTTTGTAGATCATAAAACCGAAATCAGAGGTTTTCCATATCCATAGCTGGCTTGCTCCAGCCCATCACAGATGATAAATCATAGCCACATGGGGAGAACACTGAAAAAATCTAACTCGTCTTCTGTATTTAGCTAATTTTTATCACCCTTTGTACCTGGGGTGGCCAGGGAGCAACCCTGATCATCATAGTAAAGTCCAATGATATTCCGTTGTGTATCTCCATTTTATGGTCAAATTCCCATTTTATCCACATTTTTTCACCACATGAAAAATCCAGAGATAGCATGTTTGATCCCATGTTTGATACCTGGAGGATCATCCCACTTAGTAACTGGGCTTAGTTGACCCACCTACTGCAGGAATCGGGGACGAATCCCATCACCATGGTTAGTTTGCCCACCGGGCCGAGCCGTGGGATTGCCTTACCACAGGGGCACGTGGAAGTCACTCACATGACGTGGCAGCAACCCATGCCCGGGACTCAGCCGATTGAGGCCGGAAACCACAGGTGAGCAGCAAAAATTGTATAAAATATGATAAAAGCCACAAATCAAAAACGTTCAAACCCGCAGAGGACCCACACACACACACAAAATAACACATAGAAACGCATCTAATATATAAAATCTACAAGGAACGGCAGGAAATTCAGCAAGTTGATGCAAATTGCGTGGGATTCAAAGTGCACACATGGGGGGTATAGCGACAAGGTGGAAAGGATCAAATGGTAGCTAATTATCCATAAAACTACGCCCTCAAGAAAATGGAACTACATTTTATGTTTAAAACAGGAAACATCGGATCCAAAGTCATTTCTGAGGGCTCCATATTGTATAGTTCTCAAGGGTGTGACCAGTTCATGCGATTCCCCTCAAAAACTCGACCAGACGATGGATTTTTGAGATATATTTTTTGACCCGGAGTCCCCATTCTCACTGAATTTGGCAAAACCCTATTCATCATATTATCAAATTATAGTGACCTCACTGTGACCTCACTGGAATCATGGTGAATGGAGGAATCATCCCCATAGCTGGCCTTTATTCAGGTGCTTGCGGGGAGTAATTTACCCAGGTAGATGTGGAAAACTCATGGGGCTACCCAGATATTCTGCTGATGTTTCGAACAAGTTTAGCCCATACCAATTATAATCCATTAGTAGTATGCATATCCATTGTGATTACATTAATCATACAATTATAATTATAATATGATAAAGTATATCTAATTATGATTGATGATTAAACATCGGAAAGTTGCTGGTTTTATAATTTCTTTTCTGCTTTTGGAAAGTTGCTGGTTTTAAAGCATTATAATATGTTTACTGCTTTTATCCATATATCATATAGCCATTGTAATCCATTAGTAGTCATATGGTATATATCCATATTATCATTATAATCTGATGTAAAGTGATATGATACCATATAATATAGTCATATAATCATATTGTAATGATATAGCCTAATATAGCCATTGAACAACAGTTTTTATACCAAGGCCCATGCAGATGCCGATGGCATCTGGGATGCCGGGGCCGCTGATGCCAGGCATGCCAGGTGCGATCTGGACCCTCCATGAAGATCCACTATAAATAGAGGTTTTAGTGGGAAAATGTGGGAAAATGTATTATAAATGCTGATATAAATACTTATAAATAGAGGTTTTGGTGGGAAAATGTGGGATAATCAGCTATGAAAATTGAATTGTCCATTGCCATGTTTGATTACCGGAGGGTATCTGGTGACAATAGTACATTTCTAGCCTTATAACATCTTCATAAGTGAATGATACATGAATTTGAAGTGACCTTTTTATCGCAGACGGGGAATGTTTGAGACATACGACGTACCGCGCTGGGAACATGACTTTTTCTGGCCATGGAAAATCGTTCAGAAAATCCTCTGGCCGTCCTTTCGGAGATGGGATCAAACATGGTACCCTCTGGATTTTTGGAATGTGGTGTTCATGGGAATATCACGGGAATTACCCTCTGGTTATGTCAAAATAGCTATTGAAAATGACCATTTATAGTGGATTTTCCCATTAAAAATGGTGATTTTCCATTTCTATGTTAGTTTACCAGAGGGTAAGCATCAAATGGAAAAAACCACCCGAATATATATTTGGACTCTACTACGATTATCAGGGTTGGAAAAGCAACATAGGACCAACATATTTTTTGTTTGGCTTGAAACATCCAGGGAAAGAATCGAACACCCATTTTCCCAGAGACTCTTGGGCGAGGTATGCCAGCCATGGGTGTTCCACCCATGGCTGGTCTGGCTCCTGGGGCTCCTGGTTTGGTTGTGCGGAGGCTCAGTGAATTGGGGATTGTATTATATATGAATACATGGTTGGTGGTTTGGAACATGAATTTTATTTTCCATAATATATGGATATATATATATGGGATAATACTTCCCATTGACGAACTCATATTTTTCAAGATGGTTAAAGCCACCAACCATACATATACATATATATATATGAATGAATGTATTGATATGTGTATGAATATATGTATTAATGTATGACCATTTTAGTGTAGTAGAACATGATGATGAGCAGAAGTTGTTTTCTAGTTGGTTCAAGGGATGGTTGGTGGTTTTCATATATTTTTCCCTTCAAGCAGGATAATCTACGAAGTGTTGTTTTCGGGATTCGCACCAGCCACCGGTTTTGAAGCCGCTTGCCTCAATGAGTCACAGGGAAAATTCATATAGGAATTTCTCCAGAAAGTCTCACATTTCAGGTTGGTACAATCTATGCATGTTCTTTGTTTCAAAGGAGATTCAAAACTTACTTGGCAAAAACTATGTGGCTTTGTCTGAAAATAGGGCACCAAGTTGAATTTGATGGTTTTAACATGTTTTAACCGCATTAAACCACTATTAACCGCCATTAAACCAGCATTAAACCAGCATTTTCCGTATTTTCACATGGGCTGTGCCGTTGTGTCTAACACAGCCACCCTGGATCTGATCGAATCCGAGGTCGAAGGCTGGCTCTCCAAACGCGCCCAGGACATGGGGAAGGCCGCCATTTTTTGCGTTGGCAGTTGGACTACCCTCTGGTGAACTAACATAGCAATGGAAAATCACCATTTTTCATGGGAAAATCCACTATAAATGGCCATTTTCCATTGCTATGTTAGTTCACCAGAGGGTATGTTTATGACAGAAGATGCTGAAAAGGGTTTGTCTGAAAATGTTGTACCCCTACACCCCAATGGTTTTGCTGATCATTATCCCTACTAAATGGCTATTTGTTTGGGAGTATACCCCATTTTCAGACATACCCAAAAAATGACGTGATGTTTATGACATTTATAATGACTACCATCTGTCTATTACCATCTGGTTATGACTAACAGTTCGCCATGGAAAATCCCAACCATAAATGGAGGTTTCTAGCTGGGAACATCATCTATTTCTATGGGCCATTTTACCCTCTGGTTATGACTAACAGTTCGCCATGGTTAAGCCATGGCCCATAGAAATAGATGGTTTACTGAACTTAAAAATGGTGATTTTCCATAATGACTACCAATGTTCATGATATTTATAATGACTACCATTAAAAATTGATAAACAATGACTACCATTGATAAACTACCATGACTACCAGTTTAGCATTTTTTAATGATGTTTATCAATGTTCTAGTATATAGTATGATTTCATTGATTCTTGGTACCCATTCAATCTATGCAATCATCGTCTGCACACCTGCTGCCTGTTTTTGCCTCTTCGTTCTTGAACTGCTACTTGATTAAAAGGTTATTAACTAGCGAAAAGACGGATATGGAGGTTTCCTATGGGGGTACCCCTAAATCATCCGTTTTTTATGGGGTTTTCCCTTATAAACCATCCATTTTTGGGTACCACCATGTATGGAAACCACCATATATTTGGCCCAGCGATTTCTGATGTGGCCATTCCGACCCTCATCCCAGGTAGAAAGTGTAGAATGTAACTGGGGGTAGTTACATAGTTTCCCCAGGTTGTTACCGGAACTCCAGAAAACTCATACAGATATGGAAAACACATACAGATATGGAAAACATTGGAAAGCCCACGGTTTTTTTTCACCATCTTCCGAATCTTCCTTGAAAACAATGGATATCGTTTATTTGGGTATGGATCAATACCTATTAATACCATTTTTAGGGGGATGAAGATGAACATCCATTTACCAGCTATTTTGATGTTCACCAGGGGTACAAGGTTTTGACACACTTCCATATTCCATAACATATCCCCATCGAAAAGTTGGTTAAAATCACGAAACGAATTCCCCATTCTATAATATTCTATCCATCATTCATGGGTTACCCTCTGGTAAATTAACATAGACCCTGAAAATAGCCTAGTTTTAATGGAAACTAATCTTCCAACCCCTATCTGCCAGGGTCTACGTTAATTTACCAGAGGGTAAGTCCCAGAAAAGGAGTAACAACTTCATATTTAGTTGAATCATGTCGAATCATGTTGAATCCCCCATTCTATCCATTATTCATTGGTTAATCCCCATGCCACGATTCTTGGTGGATTTTATCCCATCTAATTCCAATGAAATTCCCATTAATTTCCCATTAAATTCCCATTAAATTCCCATTATATTCCCATTAAATTCCCATTATATTTCCATTAAATTCCCTTAATATCCCATTAAATTCCCATTAAATTCCCATTAATATCTCATTAAATTCCCATTAATTTCCTATTAATATCCCATATATCCCATTAAATTCCCATTAAATTCTCATTAATTTCCCCATTAATATCCCATTATATTCCCATTAAATTCCCATTAATTTCCCATTAAATTCCCATTAAATTCTCATTAATTTCCCCATTAATATCCCATTATATTCCCATTAAATTCCCATTAATTTCCCATTAAATTCCCATTATATTCCCATTAAATTCCCATTATATTTCCATTAAATTCCCTTAATATCCCATTAAATTCCCATTAAATTCCCATTAATATCCCATTAAATTCCCATTAATTTCCTATTAATATCCCATATATCCCATTAAATTCCCATTAAATTCCCATTAATTTCCATTAAATTCCCATTAAATTCTCATTAATTTCCCCATTAATATCCCATTATATTCCCATTAAATTCCCATTAATTTCCCATTAAATTCCCATTATATTCCCATTAAATTCCCATTAAATTCCCATTATATTCCCATTAAATTCCCATTATATTCCCATTAAATTCCCATTATATTCCCATTAAATTCCCATTAAATTCCCATTATATTCCCATTAAATTCCCATTATATTCCCATTAAATTCCCATTAAATTCCCATTATATTCCCATTAAATTCCTATTATATTCCCATTAAATTCCCATTAAATTCCCATTATATTCCCATTAAATTCCCATTATATTCCCATTAAATTCCTATTAATATCCCATATATCCCACAAGGGAGTAGCCATGGCACCCACCGTTCTTCACAGCGCGGCCAGACCTGGATGAATCGCTGGTTCGCGCTGCACCACGACGGAGTTCGGCAGCCCAGCCGGTCAAGGGAGCTGCATGGGAAGCTCATCTGGTTAATAATGGTTAATCTATGGTTAATCTATGGTTAATCTATGGTTAATCTATGGTTAATCTATGGTTAATCTATGGTTAATAATGGTTAATAATTGGACCAACATTGGAATAACAATCTATCTGGTTGGGGAAACATCGAAAAAGATGTGGAAAAGCCATGTTTTCCCGTTCGGAAAATGATGTACAAATGGTGGGTTCTCCATAAATCCACAAGCTCATCTGGTTGGTGGTTTGGAATATGAATTTTATGAATTTCCATTCAGTTGGGAATGTCATCATCCCAACTGACTTTCACTCCATCATTTTTCAGAGGGGTAGGCTCAACCACCAACCAGTCATCATTTGGGAGAAACAATGAACAGAAACAGTGTAGTTAATGATGTTCATTTAACAGGTTCATTTCCATTGAATCAGGATTTAATTACAAACCATTTTCAGGATTACAAACCATTTCAGGCTGAAAAAGTTTTGCAAACCATGAATGTGGGTAAAACAATGCCATAAACCAGCCATGACTACGAATGGTTTATACCATACCACCTATATATTTATGCTGATGACTGGGGGATGGTTCATGACATTGTTTTACCCACAGATTTTGCGATTCAACTGAAGCAAGAAGCAAAACACACAAAAATCATTCCCAGGATTTGACCTGTAACCTCATTTTAGGCAGATATCTCGTTTTTTTTTTTTAACTATTGTTTATTCCTCTCCTGTTTAGGACAGAAACAAGTCAGAAGTGAACCAAAAAACATACAGAAAGCAACCCAAAAGAATGTGGATATCGCAGTCGAGACATAGCAATTCAGGGATTTGGAATGGGGGACAGAAATCATTGCCAACATGATTTGTGTTTGTTTGAGTACTTGGAACATGATTTTTGTTTTCCATTTTTTTCAAATTCAACATCGTGTGGTCTGAAGTGATCCTGTGTTGCTGGTATAAAGAATACAGAATGGGATGGGTATTGCCCCGAAGTTGAGACTTATCGGGTTTCCAAATTGTGACGGACTCATGCCCACAGCTCCTTGGTTGTAACTTTGGTTTTTCGATCCAACGGACAACTTCTGGAAAACCTGCCATTCGTAGAGAATTTATAGTTATTTTTGTTACAGACATCTGGGTAAATTTGATCACGACCTAACTGGGACCTCACTGGGAATCATGGTTTCTATAAGGGGAATCATCCCCATAGCTGGCCCAACAATTCAGGTTAGTGAAATATTATAATTTACCCAGAGACATAGACACATGGATTTCATTGGATTTCCATACCTATGTAAATTTGATGTCGCTTCTGATTCTTGCGCAGTCGAACTGCATCCATAAGGGTTACACAGATGTGGTTTTAAGATTTTTTTAAGTGTTGTAAGTTGTAAGGTTTCCTAGGTCCTCAACTCCAGCATATTTGTCGGTTCTACCCTATATTTCACTAGCCATTCACCAAGCGGTTGATGCCTTGACGCTTTTGCCAAAGGGGCATGGTTGGCTCAAACAGCAAAGATGAATCCATTGAAGAATCCATGCACAGACCGTGCTTTGAGCCATCATTCACAGACCATTTCCCAACCTTTCTGGTCGACTGTCTGTATGTTTCATGTCTCCCAGGTACTATGCTATGGCAAGGCAGGGTGGGCAGACAACCGGTGTTGCGCCGGCAGATCCAGGAATTTGAGCCAGCGCCATCCAGGGTCTCGTCGGTCTCGTCGCTGTTGAGAGTCGTATGTCTCGATATACGGATCTTCACAGTCACAATGTCCAAACTTTGTCCAAACATACTCAAACATGATGGGTAGGAATATTTTAGTGTATATTATATATATGATAGTTCATAATACTGGTTATATATAAATATATAATGAATTATAATGATAGTAATATATTCCTACTCAAACATGATCTTCGCCCCAAAGGCCCAAAGGAGAACTGAGAGATTTGATTCATTCTGCCATATTCTGCCCTTTTTGTAGAGGAACAACACTCACAAGACCTGAAGAAGGCCGGGTGAGTGGATGACTCCGGTTGATCTCCTCCATCGTTGATAAATTTGTTTGGGGGAAAGCTTGAAAAAAAACTATGGAAAAAAACGGAGCTACCCTTTGGTAAACTAACGTAACTATGGAAAATCACCATTTTTAATGGATAATCCCACTATAAATTGTCATTTTCAATAGCTATAAATAACCAGCATGTGTGATCTGGTTGGTGGTTTGGAACATTTTTATTTTCCATAATGTATGGTTAAAACCACTAACTAACCAGGTATTTCATCAGATGGGAAAACATGGAGTATATTTTTTCATAGCTCATGCAGCTTAAATAGCTTGTTCCAAACCGTGCCATGGTTTTCGCACTTCGGCAGGATTTCGGGCCGTGTCGGTGCTGCAGATTTGGTATCAACTAGTTAATTGGCAACACTGGCGTACAAACAAGATTAGTCATGGATTTGCTGAAGATGATGTGGCTGATTTTCCGAATGGGAATTCCACTACTTGGGGAATCTACAGGGAATATTGTTTGATTTCTTTCGGGGTTCCTTAAGCAGATCCAAGTAATATACTTAATAAATCTTAATAATATATCATGGAAATGTTCTGGATAAATGGGCGGTTTGAAGTATTCTCACTTTTGCATCCCTCACCACTCACATTGTCCAATCTTGGGGTGTGCAGGTGTGGCACAAGGGTCATCAATAGAGAAAGTGTTGTGCAGCCTTGATGTTGCAGTTTCTGGATGCTAGATAACTTGGCTCAGATCTAGTTTGATAGCTGGCTCCGTGGTTGTCCACTACTGACTCGGAAAAACCCTGGTGAAATGCGGTGCTCAATTTGGGGATGTTGTTTGATTTAAGAATCTTTGCATTAAACTAGCGACACATTAGATCTTTGATCTAATCCATTGATTCTAGATGCCTATCAAAGGCCTGCAAATTCTTTGGCCCACCCAGGCCACCACAGATTTTGGTCATTGTTCATGATCCATTTAACAATGTGGTGCCCAAGAGAGAAATCGCTAAGTTGCTGAACATGACATGGTGAATTCTATGGTGAATTCTATGGTGTGTGACATTAGATATAACATGATATATATATAAAACGATAGTATTCATGGGGTGAATTTAAACCAATGAACACAACTCGGGGTCCCCACCTTGCAACAATGTTGACCCTTTGCCGAATGAAATTGATGAGGGAACTATATCACCTGCAATATCCTCGAAAAAAAATGTTCGATGTTTTTTGCTGGGGCCAGTTTGCCCTCATAATACTGGGCAAATTGACACGGTTGTTTTTGATCCAAATGTTTACGGTTTCCTGGAGATTTTCACTTTATTCAAGCCAACAATTGTGGATGCTTGATGAGGGTCTTGCCAGTGCAGACCCACCCACAGCCGCCTGCAGATCGTTCTGGACAAGCTGACGAAAGCAGGATTTCTCAGCGGTACGGGGTGCTGTGATCATCTCCGCTACTACGGAGCATAGCAATACAAGCAATACAGAGGAAATTGGCTGTTTGACGAGGAAAAGTTAGGATTGATCCAACTTGACCCTGCAACCATTGGGTAACCATCTAAGTTGATGTATAAAAACACCTTGGTGTGGAATTTGTTGAACTAGTCGTGAAGCACACACACGAAACAACAAGAAATCATCATTTTGAGAGGACCCCAGAAACTTGATGGTGGGTTGTTTCGAACATGCACGATGTTCAGCCACCATGATTGAGCAAATTGCTATTTACTCCTTGACATTTCAGGCAAAACCACAAATGAACTATAGAAGACGATTTTCTGGACTTCAACTATGTTAGACTATATTGAAATAGTATGGCAGAATATATTTCAGAATACATCTCAAATAGTATTTCTGTCAAATTACATGTCCTTTTTAAAAGGATAAGAATACATGCCAGACAAAATGTAAGAAGTCAGGGTGGGGTTCACTTCAAGAAGTAATTACTCTTATTTTTGAGGCCTTGTCCTGATTTCATGCCCTCTCCTGCCACGAAAAAATGAGGACATTGTATGGTACCCATAGGATCCATGTATGGTATATATGCTAACATTGGGGGTATATTGATGGGAAATGTTACCATATATAGCATACATGGATCCTATGGGGTATGATCCACATTTACAGACCATTCCATCACGGTCATATCGAGTTTCAATTTCTACGCCATTCACCTGATACCCCGAATTAGGCCATTGGGATAATCCCGATTTCGGAGCTGCGCCCAATCCATAGATTCCCCGGGGAAAAAGAGAAACATGAGTATGCCATTCCGTCCTTGACACACAGATCGGCACCTATTTTTTCCACCCTGAGAGGATGCATTCATATGCATTCGATCCGGCATGTGTCATTTTGCATCCGTGCATTCGACTGTCCCCTGGTGTCGTCACCCCGGAATTTGTTGTTTTTGTTTGTGTTTTTTAACTAATGATCACAATCATTGGTGGGGATTTTACGCGTAGCTGGTTGTCTCTACCGCTGTCACGCAGCACTAAAGTCAAAGGCGGAAAAAGATCCATTTTTAGATTGAAAATCATCCGGAAAATATAGGGCCCCATGTTTACTTTCACAGATCTTAGCCATTTAACATGGACAATTTGATGATTAACCATTGGGTCTAAGGGCTATCAATCAAAAATAATGGGTTTGATAATGTTTAATACAATTACAATGGGCTTTAAGACGATTACTATAGCTATTAAATGCCATAGTTATATCAATGGGAATTTCAGGATCCTAAAATGGAGGTACTGTACCATATATAAGACCATATTTTGTGGGGATATTCCCTTACATAGGCCTTATATAGGCCTTATATAGGGTAGGTACCTCCAATGTGGTTTCGATCCCGTTCGGTCCAGCGAGGTGCGTCCCTTGATTCATCCCACTGCTACTGAAGAGGCAAAGACGGATCGGGAAAGATGTGATGGTTCTAACATGTTCTAACCATCTTAGCAGGTTATTGATCCTTAATGTTAAGCTTATCCATCTTCGCCCCGACATGTTAGCAGGTTTAAAGGTGTAGTTGTTTTTGATGATAACATGAAACCAGGCAGTTTTCTTTTGTTTCTTTTGAGTTCTGTGTTCTCCATTCTTCGCACCGCAACATCCATTGAATGTTAAGCATCGGGTGTTCAAAAAGTCCCCTGCTCGCACCCTGGCGCCAGGGCAGACGCGTGGGAGTCAAGAAACCCTTTGGCATCGAGATTTATCAAGGCTAGGTGGCTTGAGATCGCAGCAAAGCCTCAAGTTGTTGGTAAATATATATCAAGGCCCAAGTATCGTTTTGATTCGTTTTGTAGATGTTCTTCGTCTTTTTCGTCCGCGTTTCACAAAACAGGTACCCAGGTACCGTACCCAAGTCGCGGTTACGATTCACCCAAAAAAAATTGCCAATTTGAGATATTTGAGCCTGGAAACTCATAGAACTGATAGGTGGTTTCATTCATATCTGCTATCCATCCCGGGATGATCCAGCGGAAAACCCAGCGAAAAATCGATGAATTTTCCCTGGATGGGGCTCCATAGTTAGCTAAGTCGGTTTATAACCCCATCTAAATATAATCATAATATATCATAAGTATCATACATGATTCTTGTTATAGTTATAAGCCAATTTGGCTAACTATGGGGACCCATCCCGCATGTTTTTTTGCATGGTTTCTGGCCAGGTGCAGGCCGGAGGACGTGGTATTTGGATGCAGGATCAAAGGAAAAGTGGCTGTCCCAGCGGGCTTCTTTTTGGACTGGCCCAGGTGTGGCCATCAAAACGAATGAAAAGGATACACTGATACACGACCCCAAGACATTCCAAGACATTCCAAGACATTCCAAGACATTCCAAGACTACCCGGAGTGTTTAACATGGCTATTTCCAGAGGGTAGCCTCTGGTTATTTCCTAAGATAGCAATGGTATTTCACCGTGAGATCACCTCTTCAAACTCGGACGCCGAGGCGTGATTTGTGGTTGAACAGCCTTCATATGGTACTTGTACAGACAGGTGGGACGGGATCTGGATCTGGACCAGTTGGAGATGCCCAAGTTCTACGGATCACAGTTTTGAGACAATCCACCGTGTGAGTCAATAATTTGCTCGTGTGGGGAATCATGATTCATTTGGTGGAAGTCTAATTGTATTGGTAAACTAATTGTATTGGTAAATTTGAACGATGATTTAAGTAAACATATTAATATACATATATACATTATATATATATACATAATATATATATATATACATTAATATATATACATATATTAATATATATTAATATATATATATGTATATATATATATATACGTATATATATATATACGTATATATATATGTATATATAGATATTACTACTATATATATATATATCTATTATATATGTATATAGATACATATGCATATATTTATATATTAATATATCTATTATATATGTATATATATATAAATATACATATGTATATACATCCAAAGTTCGGCATGCTTTTCTCCCACTAGCTGGCATGGTGGAATCAATCTCTGCGGAGTCCAAAAAGCGCTGCTTTTTGTGGGATTTCCACAGCTGGGGGGTTCCTAAGTCATGGGGATACCCCAATAGCTGGATGGTTTATTTCATGGAAAAGGCTATTGAAATGGATGACAACTAGGGGTACCCCTATGACTTAGGAAACCCCCATATGGTTCTTGCTTCGATGGTGACCAGTCTCTACCAGCTTTCCGTGCCTTTCATTTGTTTGAACGTTTAATCGATCCAAGACATCCTTTCACACAACCTTTGGATGGGGACAAGGGGCAGACATGTCATGGTGACAAAGATGGACCTTACATCCAAGCCACCAGATTTTCTGGGCTTACCATGGACAGGTTCAGACCATTTTTCGGACACAGCCAAGTATCATGTTGTATCGATGGAGCCGAAGTAACACATCCAATCATTATCATGTATGTGGATTATATATTATATATTTTTATATAGTAACACATCCAGTTTATTTATGTATATATAAGTATGTGGATTATGTATATATATGTATATATATATTTATACACGTACATTTGATACACATTATCTAGTAAGGATATTGACACTGACATAATATGATTTTTGATGACATAGGTTACAGTACATAGATCAATAAGTTGATGTTGCAGATGCTGCTGCTGCTGCTGGTGATGATGATGAAGATGATGATGGTGTGGGTGATGGTGACGACGACGACGATGATGAGAACGATGACAAATAGTTCTGTGATGATGATGGTTGAATTATCATTATCAATATCATCATCATATATTATCAGTATCATCATCATTTTCATTTTTTGGATAGTCCATGTATATACTGTGTATATATATATATATAACTTGTATTATCTAATTATATAACGCATATATTTGACACACATCATCACTATCGTTGTTTTGGGGGATATATATACATATATGTATAATATATATATATATATTCCATCCATAATATACAATGAACTGGCTATATATATATATACACATTCCATAATATTCCATAATATTCCATTCCATATATATATATATATAAATAATATGTATACACAACCCATGGATCTGTTGGATCGTGGCGATTGAGACCCTCAGGTGGTGGGGGCTACTGAGACAGCCGCGGTGCGCGGTCGGTGCGGTGCGTTGAACCCCCAAAGCGAAGCTTTGAGGATGTTTGGGCGTTGTGGCCACCTCGAGCTGGTGCATACAATGTCTGTACACACATAGATAACTATGTATATTTACATGCATATATGTATATATGATTATATATGTATATATGTATATATGTATATATGTATATATGTATATATGTATATATGTATATATGTATATATGTATATATGTATATATGTATATATGTATATATGTATATATGTATATATGTATATATGTATATATACATACACTTAAATGAAGGTGTATACAGCAGATAAATGTATATAAATAACAATCTTGTATACTGTACATGATATATTCATGATGTATGTTTATATCTACATATAGAAATCCATACATACGAATACACATACACATATATATATATATGTATATTATTTTATGGATAATGTATTTATACATACATGCATTGCATTGCATTGCATTGCATTACATTGCATTACATATGTTTATATACAGACAGTTCGGGTTCCCAGCCAAATGGTCTGATAAAGGCCGCGGTGAAAAAATGCCTTGTTTTTTGTCGAATTTCAAAAGGGGCCGAAATTGATGGATGAACCATAAATAGTCAAAAAGAACTTACCCAATTTTCCCAGATGGCATAAACTATCCTAAATTTGTTGGCGAGTATTGAATTTCCCTCTGATAAATGTTTACATAACTATGGAAAATCACCACCATTTTATAGCTGGGTAAATCAACTATTTCTATGGCCATTTTCAATAGCTTTTTGTATGTTTACCGGGAAATTGTGAATTTTCCATTGCCATGACTAATTGATTATCGGAAGGTTTTTCTATGTTTTCCTCATATCCCCTTCAGTGGGGTATCATTGCTTGATACAATGTGGGGCCCCCTAGTTATAAGTTGGATTATAACCCCATCTAACTCTAACTATGGTTATAACAACCATAAACCCTAGTTATTGTAGTTATAAACCAACTTAGCTATCTTGGGGGCCCCACATTGTATGGATTAAGAACCCAACCGGTTGATATTGGGACATCCAATAGACCTACCGGATCGACGAAGCTTCAGATCCCTGGTGCCACAGCGCGGCGAAGTGGCGCTCTGCCAAGCAGAGGAATTATCCAATGACTCGCCGCTTTCGCACACCGGAAAAAAAGGGCTGCCACATGCAACCTATTCGTGGCCCAAAAGTTTAATGCTTGTAATTAGTTCTGTTCATTTTTGAGATTATCGAGTGTGAATTTGTTCGGCCTGGGATTCATGGTCGGGAAGGCTGTTTTTGCCGTGCATTTTTAGATTTTTGAGACTTTATTCACCCAATGGTGACGACTCATGCGCTGCCAGAGCCTGTACTTCGCGAATGTGGCCTACGAAAGTACCGACGCTTCCCTGCGGAACAGGCGGAACCTTTATGTGTGACTAGAACTGATTGGGGTCAAGGATTGCTTGATGGTTTCATTTTGGCCAGCAATATGGAAGGAAGGCTCACATGTAAATCTATCTATCTATCTATCTATCTGTCTATCTATCTATCTATCTATCTATCTACATTCATTGTCATAGACACACACAATATGCATCTGTATTCAACATACACCACACACAGCACATAATTATATAACTTTCATGACATATACCACATACATAAAGATACAATAACTACCTGCAATACAATGCATACACGACAATACATATAATACAATATGCAAAAACATACAATGCGTACATTGCCTACGTTACATACAGTACATACAAGAGAGATGGATGGATGGACGGGCGGACGGACAGACAGACATACATACAGACAGTCAGACATACATACAGACAGTCAGACAGATAGATATATAGGATAGATGGATTGATGTATAGATCGATAGATGGATTGATAGAGATATAGATAGGAATAGATAGGATACATAGGATGGATAGGAAGGATTGACAACAAGGGTACTGTAGATAGATAGAACAGATACATAGGATAGATACACAGGATAGATAGTATAGACAGGATAGATAAGACAGAAAGGCCAGATAAAATACATAGGACAGATAGGATAGATAGATAGGAAATATAGATAGGATAGATAGGATCGGCAGGATAGATTTGATAGATAAATAGGATAAATAAGTAGTATCGATAAATAGGATACAGGATAGATACATACGATATAATGATATGATAGATAGGTAGGATAAATAGGCAGATAGATAGACAGACAGACAGACAAGATTGGATTGCATAGGATAGGATAGGATAGATAGCTTAGATAGGATAGATAGGATAGATAGGATAGATAGGATATGTAGAAGAGAAGGATGGACTTTTATGTTTTAAAGGCTTTTTCAAGCAGTATGATATTTAGTTGGGATGAGGATCCATTGTTCGTAAGCCACAAGGAAGCTTTGAACCCAAGATGTGGGAGAAAAGTCGTTGCGAAGAATGGGCACAGCAAATCGTTTTGGGGAACCCCATCATGTTCATTATAATTAGTATTGTTCTGTACATATATATATATGATATACATATATCCAGCACCGTTTACTATTGTTTCTATCCTTATCCTTATCAGTATCCCTATCGTGATCATCAAAATCTTCTTCTTCTTCATCATCTTCATCATCAGGATCATCGATATTGTATTATCGGTGCTTTCATCTGTCAGTATTTTCTTACTTGCGATTGTTCATTCAAACAGATATTGCAATGTTTAACATTGTTACTGCTCTTTTGCTATTTTGTTACTGTACTATTCTAGAACTATTACAGTAGTAGCGCTATAAAAACCATTCTGCTATTACCCTCTGGTTATGACTAACATAGCCATGGAAAATAGCCCATAGAAATAGATGGCTTACCTGTTAAACATGGTGGATCTTTCCATGGCTATGTTAGTCATAACCAAATGGTATTTCGTCATTTTTGGGCATTCTGGTGTTATCCAAAAATCCCCATGACGCCCATCTTCCGAATCTGCCACGGCCGAAATCTTGGCCAGGTTCGGGAGGTTTGGTTCCATCAAAACCCTTCATATGCTGAGAACGAAGGCAGCGGGTGCCTTTGGGGAAAGTGAGGTGCTACAACCATGAGTCGCCCACTTCAAGACATATGTATACATAATACACACATAATATGATCGTATATGTATATATATATATATGAGCAACCGTAAAAACCCCGGCAATACTAAATATGTATTCGACGGACATTGGCTTATGGAAATTGATGGAAATTGTTAAAAACACGAGGTAAGCGATGGGACCTTCCCAAATTAGCGATACCCCTTTTCAAGGTTATGTCATCATATTTCTCTAGTATCCACATTAGCGATACCCAAATATCACATATTATTCATAGTTCATCATATATATATAAATACAGCAGTTTCCTGCAAGCGATACCCCCCAAGTTTACCATATATCATTATTGTACAAACGTGTGGTAAGCGATGGGACCTTCCCAAATTTGTGAATGTCCTTTCCGTGAACCTAGGGTTTTCACAATTGCTCATATATTTATTTATTATTTTATATTTATATTTTCATCTATTTATATTTAGAGTATAAACACACCGGCGATGCTGCATGCTGGGTTGGATTTTTGGTTTGGGCAAAGCAAAATCAGGGTATCAGCATCATCACTGGTCAAACTGCTTTGCGCCCTTGTCGGTCATTTCGAAAGTGTATTTCCCAATGCTAGGTCAATCTTAGATGGGTAGAAACTAATCCTTTGGTCTTTTGGTATCATTGGGATTATCTACGTTCACCAGCTAAGAATTTAACTTTTTGCAGGGTATCTAAGATTGGCCATGAATGTTCTTAGTTCATGACGGACCCCTCTGCTAGACCCTTTTTGTTCCCATAATATTGATAAATATCACCAATAATCCCTCATAACTCCTGGTAACCCCTATAAAAATTGCCGCTTTCTTGAGCCTTCTCAGGGTGATGGTTTTAAATACATTCGTTTTTCCCAATTCTGTGGATGATGCGAATGGACAAAAGAAACATTCTTCGGATGGGCTGAAACCACCGTCAACCCCCCCTCTTATTGTGGCACTGCTGGGCAATCTATAATTTAACATCTATGGCCATAGAAAATCATTGTTTGAGCACGTAAGTCAGCTATAAATGGATGATTTTCATTGATTTTCCATAGCTAAGTAACACATTACAGGAGATACTTTTGTTGCTTAAACCGTTGTGAAGAGCCTGGTTACTGAGCCATATTTTCTCCCAACACCTGACATGAATGTCGGAGATATTTCCATTACAATCATTACTGTTGGCGAACAACATTACCCTCTGGTAATGACTGTTACATAGACATTGAAAATGGCCATTTATCGTTGATTTACCCATGAAAAATGGTGATTTTTCATAGCTATGTTAGTTTACCAGAGGGTAATATCCATTTATTGAACATATATCCATATATCTCCATTTATTGCTGGCGAAGCCTTCCAAAAAATGTCTCCACGTTTCCCCAACAGGATTTTTTAGGACCGAACATGTATTATATATCGGGTCTCTCTGCAGGACGGGCAATTCAAAGGGAAAGGCATTGTCGAGTTCGGCCAAGCAGCCTCTGCTTGGGAACCCTGCACCATGATCTACATCTCTGGCACTGGCAACTGGATCACAGGCTAGAAAAAATTACTCTGGAAATCATACAGAAAACACATCTACCCGGCCTGGTAAACATACAAAAAACTATGGAAAGATCCACCATCTTTAAGTTCGGTAAATCAACTATTTCTATGTGCCATTTTCAATAGCTATGTAACAAATTACCAGAGGGTATTTTATCCTATCCTCTTCTGTTCTCTCCTATCTGTTTGACTGGGTTATAGCTTATATCCATGTTTATGAACAACTTACTACCTGGGATGCATGTCCAAGCATGGTAGCTGGGTGGTTGCCAGGTGGCTGACATTTTGACATGGCTGATGCAAATCAGAGATCAGTCAAAATCTGGTGTTATACCCACATAGTATCATAGTAATCTCCAAAACGATAGAGACGTATTTTACATTATTTTAGTATATGTTAGCACTGTTTTAAGAGGA